ATCGATAATTCTACCGATGCTTAGCTGCCACACAATCATGAATTATTATTACAAGAAAATGGGGACAAAAGTGGGATCTAACACGCCATCTAACAGGCGGGGGCGCAGCATCTAAGCCATGCATACACAAGCACTCGGGACAAGTCCTCTGGGCGAGTCCAGCGACATCAGCGCGACAGCTTCCTTGCGGCTTTCACTGCCACCCATCATAACATGCCTCGCTCGCCAGTGGACTTGGCAGACAAACCAATAAGATGCCTACAGCACGACTGCCACTGAGCCTGGTTTCTCGCCATATCCTGCAGCGTTAACAGCCATTGGTCTGCGGCGTCGCGCGGACCCCGTCCAGGGAGTCTAACCCTGCCAACTGAAGCTAATCTACTTGTAAGCCCTTTCGTCTGACGGCTACAGGTCAGTGTCTGGCCCCCACGTACTCTACGCCAGCTAGGATTGGGGGTAGCAAAGAGTGTCCTATGTGGGAAGCGGCTCGGAATGCTCGGCTACAACTCTATAATAACCCACATGATTTACGCGCAGTACATTTCAATTTTTGAAAATGGCCTAATTAAAGCTCGTTTCTTCAGCTCAACAGGCGACCAAAATCAGGAAGACAGTCTAAAGAGAAGATCATACAGTTGACCAAGTAGGCATACGTTTTTAAGAATCAGTTTTGTCACAAGTTTTAATCCATAAGTGAACATAACTTAAAAAATATATACAGAAGTCAAAATGATAATCAAGCAATATTTAAAAATGACCAAATATACATAAAAAATGTCTTGAAATAGGGCAGTCATTCTCTATACATATATTGTTACAAGATTATAATTAATGTTTAGAAACCATTTGTTTAGATAAAATTTTGAGAAGGAAAATTAAGTATTTTTTCTCATCACAAGATGGGCGTTCAGTTTGTAACAGTATATATACACTGTTGTCTTGTTTACTTCCATTCTGCTTGAACAAATGTGGTTAAAACATGTAGCAAAATATACTTGTTTTTGCAATAATACATAATTGTGGTCTATATATGGTATAATACTTTTACTAAATTAAATACCACAAGATATACGAGTAAACTAATTAATAACTTTGTATTTTGTGGAGAAATTTGGATGACTTGATAGATTCATTCCTTATTAGCATCCAGTCTGTACAGAAACAGTATTTACTTGTTGTACAGTGGTGATTGCACGTTAGCCTGATAGTATGCATAGTTCACCTGGGTATATCTGTCAACTCTCCAGAGGTTTAACTTATCATTGTAACTGTAAATTACAATGACCAGAAACCTTTTTAAAAAACTTTCATTGATAGCATTTTGACAAGTATTACTGACAGGATTATAAGTTGCCTGAAGATATGTAGACTTTAAAGTAGATACATTTTATCCAATGTGATATTTCCCCTTATCATGTCATATACTGCTCATGCAGCTATCAGCTATGTGCTTTGGAAGAAGCTTGTGTCACTTTTATAGATTTTAAATTTCAAAGAGTTATTATGCTTACAGTGGTCTGTTTCTCTGCTGGAATTGTGTCTCCTGTTACTTCAACAATATAGATGTTCCTTTCTTCAGAATGCTAAACTTGCATGCTTTTATACTAGCTGAATAGAGGAACTTTGGGTCAGAAAGTTCTGTAATATAACCATCCCAAAAAGAGATAGTTTTTGATTTGGAACGAGAGGGTCAGGGCTTCAAACCTGTGTAGCCATAGCAATGGTCAGGGGCATGAGGAATGAATATGCTGATTCTCGCCATATATCGTGAACAACGTGGTTATAAACTGTCATTTTCTTGTACACTACATCTATATTACTCTAAATAGACCATAACTTAGAATGTTTTAAATATTTAGGGATTATATCAACATTGTTGTTTCACAGATTTGTAGTTAAGTGAGAGTTCTGACACATCCACCACAAAAACAGTTTTATATAATACTATTGAGAAAACTATTTTAAAAACAATTCTTTTATTAAGTCCTCTAAAGAAAACAAATTCTCACATATGGTTTTTACACATGAAAGTAGTATTCAAAATACATGTACAACTGAAAGTGCATATTCTTTGTGCTTAAATATCTTCATTGTTTTCAAATCTCAATATAAGGATCCTAACTTATACAATAAGTCACTGTACAGCTATACCTGGAAAACAGAAACTCAACAATGAATTTTTTAACACCTACACATATTTTCCAAAACAAAGCTAAACCGATCCGAAAAGTAACTGTTGTAAAGTTGATTACAGTTTCACAGTCTTACCCAAGTAATCCAACCACCACATTCAACAACTATGGGTTTCATCTGGATAAATTGGAAAATATCCTCTCTTTTTTTTTTTTTTTTTACCTTAAGGCAAATGCAAACAAAACTAAATCTATAAAAAGTGAATATGTCAGAAATATCAAATGGATCAATTTGTATTAAGTATAGCAGAAAGTTCAAATTTAACAGACACAGAATCTGTGAAAATGAAACTTATAAAATTTGAGATGGCTGAAATACTTTATTTATGAAATTAATTATAACTACTACTTATACAGGTAACTCATTACAAGACTTTTAATAACTGAAGTGAAAGCTAACCTGTCCTGGATCTAACATCTTGAAAATAAAAGATAGGTGAATTTAATAATAACTTCTACTACACTATTTACTTATAACTCATTATGAACTAGCACATTAAAAACTAGTCTCATAAGAAAGATAACTTTTTCATACAGTCCATATATTATCAGTTCACAGGTTTTGTTGAGTGCTACACATTATCCACCATCTGGTGCTTCTATATAAAGATTTATATAAAACTGTGGGAGGACTACATCAATTTCAGTGAAAGAGATATTTGTTAGATACATGGTTTTTCTTACATAAAACCACAACAGATATAAACAGTAATGAAATCATTAACACATTCACTGCTACCTCGGATATTGACACCCATTCCAGGTGCCATTTTATCAGGAGCATTTTGATAATGCAAAATAATATCAGATAAGAGTATTCATGAGTATATATCATTTTCCAACTAAAATCTATACCATGACGCGAGTGACCGTCATTGGCACTGCAGCTAAAATGTTTCTATTGGTGTTACAAGATACATATCTGCATCATTTATATACCTTGTCATGTTTGGGGGTATTTTGTGAATGTAAAAGAAAAGTAAATTATAATCATGGGAATATCACATCAGTTAATGATGTTTTCTGACGTACATCAAATGTACGAAACAAATTCTGCTAGACTACTTTTTAGTCATTATTTACCAACAAACTTTAATAAAACATGGCTGTATACAAATGGCTTGGTTTTTACAACAATGTTCACAATAATACATTGTGTTTTTACACTTTTACCCCTTCCAAAACACTGAATTTTTCTTTCTTATTGTGAGCTTTGAAGTGGTACTATTTTTATCCATTTTATAAAGGCCAACAAGGAAACATATATATATAAAATAATGTTTACAACCAACCAAAATTTCTACAAGTACCGCCACAGCAGAACCAACTTTTAATGCATGCTGATTCCAATAAAATACAACTGCCTCAATGTCTCTGTTGATGCACACATGAATCGATAGCACTGACTAAAACTCTTGGGTACACATTTTTCCAGTGACAGTGAATGTGTTAACACATTCAGATGATACAAGTATACCAGTCAACTCCTCATCAGATGAGGATGAGTTATGCAAATTTTTTGATTTTGCATTCTTCAAGTGGTAGCAACCTTTGAATTGCAAAGTTCCAATGTATTATTTTGTACTTTGCATACATGTTTTAGCTGCTGAAATACTCTCTTTAGTGTATTTTTGAAATAAATAATCCAAAATTCAACAAGGAGGAAGGTTTGTTTTGGATATTCACATGAAGTTACAGAAGGTTTCTGTACTAGCCATTTCTAATTTGGAAGTGAGACAAGAGAGAAGGCAACTAGTTAACACCACTCACTGCCAATTCTTTAGCTACTCTTAATTGAACAATGGGATTTGACTATCACTCTTATAAAGCACCCATGGCTCTAAATTGTGGAGTGTGATTTTGTGACAATAGGGTGTGAACCATTGGCTCTTGGATTCACAGTTCAACATTTACACTGAATGAGTTTTAGTTTGCTCTTAATACTTTGAGTAGCTGGGCTTTAGCAGAAATGGATTCACTTATTTATATAACAACAGAAATGGGTTCATCTATTTATGTAACAATAGAAATGAGTTCATCTATTTATGTAACAACAGAAGTGGGTTCACCTATTTATGTAACAACAGAAGTGGGTTCACCTATTTATGTAACAACAGAAGTGGGTTAATCTATTTATTTAACAACAGAAGTGGGTTCATCTATTTATGTAACAACAGAAGTGGGTTCATCTATTTATGTAACAACAGAAATGGGTTCATCTATTTATGTAACAATAGAAATGGGTTCATCTATTTATGTAAAAACAGAAGTGGGTTCACCTATTTATGTAACAACAGAAATGGGTTCATCTATTTAGGTAACATCCTTTTTATTATCACCTCAAAATATGTAAGGTTGAATATTAAATGGGGTTTTTTCAAACTGATTTGTAATTCAGCACAAAGCTACACAAAGGGCTATCTATGCTGTGCCCACCATAGGCATTGAAATATTTTCTTTTAACGTTATAAGCCACTGGGGGACATTAAAACTGGAAGTAAAATCTGTGGAAAAAAACTTTAAATTCAGAAACAAAACTACATTTTAGAAACCAAGAAATTAGTAAGTACTTTTCCCATAGTCCAAAGCAGGGACTAGATCTCCTGCCCTGATATTTCAAAGTTAATACACAGATATTTTAATACAATTTAAAACTATGTTTAGAATGTCACATTCAAAATGGAAATTGCTGATTAAAACTTCATATCTTTAATTATTCTCTGCCTCTTAACATAATTGTAGAAAAATTTTATTCATTTTAACTTTTTATTAAATTATTTGACTTTATAAAATATTTATATTTGAAAACATAACAAAAACAGATGGGCAAATTAAACATTTCTAATATTGTATGAAAAAACTTTGTCACAATTTCACCTTTAAACAATACTTTTTGAATGATCTATCAGTGAGATTTACAGTTGCTGTTGTTGTTTTATTACAAAGTTACACAATGGGTTATCTGAGCTTTGTCCACCACAGGGAATTGGGTCTGAGCATTGTAAGGTCATAAACTTACCACTGAGACAGTGAAGGAAACAAGATTCAAATATAAAGAATTAATATAATGGTTTTGAATATGTGATCTTTCTGGTAGGTTGAATTATTACAGGGAATAAAAATTACCATTTAGTACTTAAGTAAGTTTAACAGTGAGTTTATTGTGATGGGTAAAATCAAAAGAAAAGTAAGAATCAGGCAAACACACATTTAGCTCAATGACCCTAGTGATGAGAAGAATGAATTAGAAAGGTTTGTGCAAGCAGCAAGTTATGGAGAACCACAGTCAGAATTAAGGGGAGTTGTTTGGTGAACAACGTCTGCTAATACTCCTTATAAAATACTTTCTATTGATACAAAAATAAACAACAAGTATCACAGTCTTAAGAGGCAGAGATGAACATTAACCCTCTCGCTACGGTTAGGTCAAAGTGCACATCAAGACATTATAAAGAGATGCATTGAAAATTTAATCAAACTACTTTATTATAAATGAATGTAAATAAACTTGGCATAGAACATAGTTAATATAAGTATTAAGTTCTTAATTTTATAAGGAAATGTCTTAAAAATCCTCAATCTCACCCTAGTATGAGAATTGTGACATTTGCTCTCTAGGTATCCCCTCTTCTCTATTGTACTTACCACCCCTCCAAAAAAAGTATAGAACTGAACATAAATTACTCATTATAATATTGTTACTACTCAGGTAAAGCATAATTTTTTTAGCCTTAAACCTTATTTGATTACGTAGCCATAATATATAAAATAGCCTTCAACCTTATTTGGTTACATAGCTATAATATATAAAATAGCCTTCAACTTTATTTGATTACATAGCAATAATATATAAAATAGCCTTCAACCTTAATCGGCTACATAACCATAATATATAAAATAGCTGTCAACCTTATTTGGTTACATAGCCATAATATATAAAATCAGACACATTTACCATGCCAACTTGTCAAA